ACTATTTGGGTGTCACCTCTCCAACGGCAATCACTTCGAACAATCTGAATTAAAGGTTCAGTAATTAAAGAGGGATATTTATCAGCTCTCTCTAATTTAATCACTTGGTCACGAAGGGATTCTTTGTCATGTTCGAAGGATAAATCCGTTGGCACAATTTCTTCAACCAGAGGCTCTTGGTTAGACTCAGAAGTTTCTTTGCCTTTAGAAGAAGATTTGTTAGAAAGAGAGCCTCTAGAGATATTGCCGGAACTAGAAGAAGGAATGATGGAACCAGAGGTACCACCACGAACCAACCCTGTACCCCGAAGCGTACCTCCTCTACCTCTTCTATGTCTAGCAGGAGCATTGGGAAAACTATCAAGAATTGGGACTCTTTTAGGGTTAGGATTCGAAGACGATATAGTGAGAAGGTATGAATTGAAGAAGAAGTGAACAAGAGTTAATAGCAAGAAATTTGGTAAAAAGCTTGTGAGGAAGAAGACAAAGGAAAAAGGGGGCAAGTTTATATATAAACTCAACCGTCGGTAATTAAAAAGTGTAATGATGGAAAGCCTATAATAAAGGCAACTATCACTTCGTGAATAGTGGAGTTAAAAAAGCCTTAGAAAAAGGCTGCAAAATCGCAGAACTAATGAGAAGACGACACGTATATGGTGCATTAAATAGAAGAGACAACTGAAGCGTTAGTACTGTCATAGCATTGATTATGGCAAAAATTCCCTTTTTAATGAAGATCCACTTCCCAAATATTTAATTGATAAATAAATGGAAAGTGGGGGGACTATCTGTATTGGGAAAAAACTGAATTTAAATATTGAAGATGACGTATCATGACACGTGGACCGGTCAAATAGTCAAAGCATGGTAATCAGTTAGAAGGCACGAGCAACAACAGATGCGGGAGAAAAGATACTTAAAGGCACGAGCTATTATTCAGATGAAACGAGACTCGTACCTATTCGAGTCATTTAAAGCTCGAAGATCAGAAGGAATTGAAGACATGAATCTGATAGCGTAAAAGAGTCGAAATTCAACATTAAATGCCAAATACGTTAGAGAATTTGTATTTAACAAGAATGATTGAGTAACGTTTCTTTTAATGTCATTTATTACTCATAATTGCCTCATTAAGACAAATGCATTACACTTTCTCTTAGAATTAACTATAAAAGGAGAAAGTCACAACATCTGTAGGACACGAAATATCATTGAGATTACATTGAAATACAAACTTATTTACTGCTTTATTATTCTCCTAAATTCTTTATTCTTTTCGTCTCCTGATTATCAGTAACCCGATATTTTCTCTTAATTTCTAGTTTTAACTGAAATTCTATTTTTTGGTTAAACAAACATCATGATATTTAACACGCAAAATATAGCGCCATTATACCTGGCGTTATGTGTGTGTTCTCTCGCCTATAAATAACGGGCTCATTGTAGTCATTTTGTGTGCTCAAAATTTACTAAACGCAAATATTTCATTAAAAGAAAGATTTTTTTTACTAAAAGGAAATATTTCACAAATGGCTCAACCTCTTCGTCCACCAATGTGCTACTGTGGAAAAGAATGCGTGATGAAAAGTTGTTGGGAAGGTCGTGATGTTGGACGCCGCTACTGGCACTCTATGAACCAGTTGTACAAGGTTCCCGGCGAACCTATGTGTGAGTTTGATGAATGAGTTGATGAACCATGTTATCAGGAATGCTACAGAGAACAACTGTAATCTCTTCATAATATGTGGTTATGCCAACTGGGAGTCCAAAGAGAAAGCGATAGAATTATTACAGAAATGAGGGAGAAACTGAAGGAGGTAGGAGATAAAAAATGGAGAGCAGAATGGAATTGTGAAGCACAGAAGGAACGTAAAAAAAAATATAAACGGGAACTTGCGGAGGTGAAGGCGAGAGTGAAAGAGTTAGAAGAAGAAAAAGAACAAATGGAACAACGATTTAAGTGGTTGGAGCGGAGAATAAATGGCAGCCGGGACTAAACAATGGCCTGTATGTGTTTAGTGTATTTTTCATATTTCATGTATTTTTATTATGTTGGCATGTTAT